CTTCCATTGTCGATCTTTGGCAGCTGGCTGGCTCCCGCCTCACCGTGTCACAGTCCCCGGGCAGGGCCGCACGCACTCAGCGGACACCAGCCCTCGCCAGATGATCGCTGAGTGACAGGACATTGCCATCGGGGCTCAGTTTGGAGGGAGAGGAAGATATACTTCAGCCCTTATCATTTCCTTTCAAATAACTCAGGCAGAGCAGTGGGCTAAGGACCGTTGTACGATTTGTCTCCCTGACCGCTTCGCAGGCGGCCTCGGTCTCCAGCTACGCACCGGTCATGCAGCGTACGTGCTAGCTCTCGGCAGGCAGGGTTGGCACGCGGGAGACCTGCGCCCTGAAGGCATACCTGGATGGACTGGAGAGCAGGGAGAAGGCTGCCAGCAACGAGGTGCTGCTGACACCTGGTCTCTCATAGTCTGAATTAATAAAAAAGTTAATGTATGCCAGGAAACACGTACGTGTGCAGGGGGAATACATTTAGAGCAACAGATGTTTGGGTGTTAGACGAACGGATCACTGAGCTGTGTGTTTGCTTGGCAGATCAAGCGTCACCAGTATTTCCATCCTCTTAACTCAAACTTTGCTCCTCCTCAAAGAACTACAGAAGCAGCCGGGCACGGTTGTGTTTGACACCACGAGGTGAAGGGACAGACCTCAGAAAACTGCAGGGCCTCTTCTGAACGAAAGCAGCAATTCCACATGCGCGTGTGCATTGAACCAATGCACACACAACCCAGGGCGCAGGGCTTCCTCTTCATTGGTACGTGCATACCAACAGAAAATGCTGGCAGATGAAATTTCTACCGGCCATCCTTCTCTCAGGGCAAAAATTAACTGCAGCTTCTTTCTTTTGGGCTCCAAGCTATGATCTAAGAATACAGTTTCTCTTTCAACTGATAATGACTAAGAGAGTATGGGGCAGGATGCACATTTTAATAATTTCTATGGCGTTTCTTTCTGCACTATTGTTACAGACTTATGTGTTCACACTTTCAGGGCAGATCCAAATACTTCCTAGTCTCCAGATGTGTAAATGGGATTAAAAACATGGAAGCTGGTGGAGGGATTAGCAGTTACACACTCTCGTTAGCAGGTATACGCTCTCATATAGACACCGTTATACTGGATCTAACAATAATTTATAGCAAACATTGCTGATTTCTCTAGAAGGAGAATAAGCTATCCCACTATACAGATTCCTCTTACCATTATAGCTGCATCTCCAGAAGAGAAGGACTTGTATCACTGCAGTAGTAAAAAGAAAAGCAAACAACCCAAAAATGCAGAACCCCCGAAAATACACAAATAAACCCACATCCTTTGTTTGACAACTTCATAATTACTAGGCTTTGTGACTAGCAAATGTGGATCTGACCTTGTCTATCACATAGACTCAGAAGTAACTAAAAATTAGCACAAGCCTAACCCTCTGGCCAAGCTATTGGCCGAGCACCACTCTGGCAACCACAGCTTTAGGACATATTTGCCTTACTGCTCAGATCTCACCCCGTCCCTGTACAGGATGTTGTATAAAAGGAGATGGCAGGCAGAGAGGGAAAAGAGGAAGGACACCAAGAACATGAATGGAGGGGAGTGTTGACCCAAAGCTCCTTGGCACACCGTGAGTCCGGATGGCATCTTCCCTTGCCTGCACAGCTGGGAACACTTGGAGCCAAAGCTCTCCTGCCAAACATCCCGCAGCTGCAGTGGTGGAAAAGATCAAGGAAATTCAACACAAGATCAGGCTACAAAACTATTTGCTTTGAATATAACTGAAAGATTTTGTCAGGGTCCTGCATGCAATAATACACAGCAATGGCCCTGATCAGCCTCACCCGGGGCCTCCAGCCCCCACCTCCTGCCCTTGGGCCCAGGGGCTCTGTTGAAGCTTCAGCCTTGGGCCTTCACTTCCTGCCCGAGCTGCATCGCAGGTGCACTGGTCTTCACCTTTGTCACAGTCTGTGTCTGGCTATGGACCCTAATGATCTGCATCCTGATCTTGGACCTGTCTTTTCACTGCTGACCTGCTTGGTCATCACTGGACTCTGTCTGTCCACGGTTACTGTCACTGGACTGGATCCTGCCCCTCACCTGTGGATTGACTTTCTGGCTTTACCTTGGACCCATCTCATAATCATGAACTTGCTCAACGATCTGGATTCTTGGTTGGCCCTGGCTGCTGGCCCTGGGTCAGTCCTGGTCACTCCGCTCTGGTGCGGTGGGGCTGAGCCCTACCCATCGAGGGTTGGCTCCCGGCTCCCCGTCCCTAGGGAGCAGCCGGCTCTCGCTGCCCCCTGACAGGTTTACTCTGAGCTCTAGAGAACAAGGGGGAACTTCCACATTTATCCTTGTCATAGAAGCTGGGTGACCCTAAGGGCCTTGGGTTTCTGCTCAAAGGCAGCTCCACGACAAGCAGCCTATAGGCATTACACCTGGCTAAGGGTGACACTGAGGGAAAAATCTTCCAGCCTCAGTGTGTGAAACAGTGTGAAGTTAACACTGACTCTCATTACAAATGAAGACTGAATCCACAGCATGCTGGGTCCCAGCTGAGACCTCAATGAGGGTGAAGTGACTGACAGCATTCTCACCACCATTGCAAATTATTTCATTGGGCTCTTGATGAACAATAGGTGACGTGAAGGTGCCGAGGCATGACAGGAACACGCAGCCGGAGGTCATGAAACACAGTATTGATCCAGCCACTGGAATGAGATGTCCCAGAATAATTATGAGCAACCGCGGAGTTTACTTATTCGGGAACAAGGGATCAATACTCAGTCTGACAGCTTGGGAGGTATGATTTGGTGGCATAATGAATTTGTCCCTTTGTGACAATGAGTGCTAAACTCCCAGTGCTCATACTCTGGGAGAGAAAAAAAAAAGTTTCCATTTCTCAGGTTAGGTAAAATTTGCCAGGTTTGTCATCTTTCTGAGGAGGCACACAGAAAATGAAGTCTGTGGATGAGATAACACGGATTCAAGCAGGTGAGACCAATGTACTTGGTCACATTTCTCAGAGGCTCAGCGTTCCCATGCTTCACAAGGGAAATACAAAGCCCATGCATACATGCAAATTTACTATAAGAACCTTTAAGAGAACAAAATCAGATGTTCTTACAAGCAGCAGCCCACTGTTCAGGAGAAATTGTTTTGGAGAAATGATGGAAGGAGAGACAACAATAATGATGAGAAGTAACTTACCTGACTGCAAGGCCTACTGGTTGGGCACATTGCTTACTCCTAAAGTTCATTTAATTGAAGAAAAACCATAATAAAACCACTCAAGTGGGTAGAACCAACTTCAATTATTCCACAGGGAGGAGCTGGGAAAAGGAAAGGGGGGGGCAACATGTGGGTGACACAAGAATGGTCATATTCCATGGCAGGGTTTTAGGGGGAACTACTGAAAACAAAGGTAGTGTGCTGGCCAATGGAGCTACATTGCAATTAGGGCTAGGCAAAAATCTGGATTACTTCTGGGAAGACCAAGGACTGATTTTTTTCTTTAGGCAACAATCTGGAGACCAGAGCAGTGGGTCCAGGTTATAAACCCATTGGAAAGTGCTGAATAGTGGTAGTGAGCAAGAGTGAGACAACTATAAAGTTGTAAGACGATTCTAGATTTGTAACAAAATATTTCTTCTGTTGCAATTTACAACTAGTAAAAATATTTAGTGAATAGGATGTGTGGGAGGAATTAGCATCTGATGCTGCCCTACTCATCAGCTTGTACTTGTGGTCATGAATACTCAGAGGAGACAGACCGGAAAATGTTTGATTAAGGGATGCATCATCTTGCCAACTTTCTTTAAGCCTTTCTACCCACACAAAAAAAGTTAGAGAAGTAAATAATATGCCTCGGGCTTCACAATGCTGCTGCTTTCCTCAGCAGATGTTTCATTTTCTGCAGTGCAGTGAGTAATACCTACCTGGAGTCAAAGATTCATTTTCTCAAAGTGCTAACTGGTGCAGGGACCTTCTTCACACAGCCAAAGATGCTTTATGAAATTTGACTGCAAGTACAGAGAACTAATGAACACAAGATATGAATTATCTGTATAGCCCAAGCCACGACGACATGCTGTTTCTTGCTTTGTTCCACAAAGTCAGCTAAAATTTGTCCTGCTTCATACAACAAGCTTTTTCTCTCTTGAGTTGGTCGGATACAGCGAAGATAACATAAAAGATTTTTCTGGCTTCATAATTAAGACGTGCCAACAAAGAAGTTTCTGTTCCACATGAGGTATTGTTGGATCAATAGGTAAAAGCTGAAAGGAAATGTAACTTACCAGGGAATAAAGACACATGTTGCAGGAACAATGTGTTGCCATTAGATATGATAATTGGGCAAATGGTGGTGTGATCTTAAAAGCCTCTGTTGATCATATTCCCTTGAGTGCATTATCCAATTAGGGGAAAGGCGCACTAGATATGCCTTCATTGTACTGCTAAAGTGGAGCGCAGGTGTGAGAAAACAAACAAGCCTGTAATCCTTGCTTTGCAAATCGATTCTTAATCACTCTGCTTCTTGTTTCCACCTAAGACTTACCTTGTTGATATTTACAAGAATAATTTTGCAGCTCCCCTTTTGTGGTTCATATGGATAGCAAGCAAGTCCAAGAGGTTTTTTTAGACTTTTAATTCCCAGTACTGGTGCATATGGTTCATTTCAGGTCAGACCCAGTAGGTATAAAGATATATCCAAGCAAAAAAAGACTGGACAGAGCCCTGCTGAAAATGTGCACCACGTGGTGTAAGTAGCGAGGGTCTGGTTCTATCATTTCCAATTTACCATATGAGTACAGAAATATTGTGAGACTACGACTTTGATATATAAAGCCCAACTTTGCCACGCACTTTCCATCCCCTTTAAGAAGTCAGTTCTCTCCCTATCTTACTTTGCTGCAAGTATTATCACTAGCAGGACTGAGAGTGGAAGAGGGAAGCCAGTGGCAGGAAATCCACTGCATGCTCACCTTTGGAATATGCTCGGTCTTTGGGACCACAGGCTGTTGATCTGTCTGGGAATGGTCCAAGACACATCTGTTTCAACAGACATTCAAGGCAGGCCAACAGGTAGAAGGATAGCCATTGGGATGAGCAGGAGTTTTTAGTAAGTCTGTTGACTGGAGAATCCCATCTGACTGGGAAGAAAATACGCGTTCTCACTACGGCTCTTTCCATTTCACTCCTGCAAGACATTTTTGTTGAAGGATGTTAATGTTTTTGAACAAAGTAAATAAAGTACGGGAGAACATCTTGTGCAGAGCTGGAGGCATGAGACTGGATTTGATGAACCACTGGTCTAAGACAATACTGTATGGCAAAATGTGTGCTGTGAGGTGCCAAGATTGCCCGTGGCTTCCCTGCAAATTGGTTTGTAATCTCCCTCCACACAAGCGAATTTCTATGCACACCATCCTCTGCTCAACAATTATCCACAGAAGTACACATTAACAGTTTGATTGATAAGAGAACTTTTAATTAAAAACTGAAAGATACAGGCATTTGGCCTGTTGGACAAGAAAGCAGAAGATACTTTTTTATTGCTTAGTGGTGGGTTTCTTGTAAGACAGTTGCTGTGAAGCTGACATTCTTCTTCCTGAGTCCAAGAGCCATCACCGAGGGAACAAACCGGTAAACTAGGACATGAACTAGACACAAACAAAATCACAGCTACATCTGAGAGGGAAATTAAGCTTATACATCAAGTGTTACAGCTAACATTTTCTAATCAATGCTGTTTTACACGTTGGCACAGCACCGTGCACAGGAGCATGAATACCGCACTTAAATAATATATTCTCCCAGACTGGTACATGACAATGCAGAAAATCAGTCTTGGTCATCATTTCTGATAGACACAAGGGCACACATGCTTAATGCAGTTGTCCTCCTGTGGCTGTCTGGCAATCAGAGACTTCCAGGGAGCCATGCCAATGCTAAAGCCAACCAGCTCACACAAAAAACATCATGAGGTTTACTCCTGATGTTGTGCCATGCTGCAGGATCCTAGGACCATCCCTAAGAACAACATGAATAATTCTTTGGAGCTGCCAGCATAGAAATAGCTGGGATGAAGCAATGACTTACGGTGAATAATTTCTCATTATTGTGATCTACCCCATTTACGGATTTAGGCTACTTCTTCTGTCCAATTTCTGTAAAACACAAACTGTATGCAAAAATCTTTCTTTCTGCTTTTCTTTGTTTGAACCACACTGTAATTGCAAATGGAGTGTTATCAAAGCAAAGAGAGAAGAGTGCCTGAAAAGAATTTAGATTTTCTTCTGATAAAAGAATGATTGCTAAAAAAATAGATCACTCAGGTGATTGGGGGTGACGTTTTCAGCTGTCTAACACAACAGAAAGGAACTCTGAACAGAACTCTGAAAGAGAGACAATTATCAGGTCTGAACAGTCAGTTCCCAGCCTGGTCTAGCATGGAGAAAATAAAGGTATTGCAGTTTGAAATGAAACTTTCTCTTTCCAGTATGACTTCTGGCTCAACTGTCACTGGACTTACTTGGCCATCACGTTGCCTGTGGACAAGGAGGAGGCAGGGAGAGCAGTAGAAGCCTCGCTCCAAACTGCCTGCAGGTGCTGTGACCCAGGCTCAAAAGAGGCTCGGAAAGGATGAGAACATCTACCATTTCCTTCTCTCAGCAAACGCCTCGGGGCTGTCTGACCTGCACTGTCCGGTACAGCTGTTCCATGTAGTCTTCCCCTTCCTGACGCAGGGGTTGCGTTCTGCGCAGGGTAGGACCCACATAGTGTCTCGCCTGGTGTACAAGCCACAATTATTACGTGGGGCAGTGCTATCACGAAAGAGTGCAACATTTTCCCATTTATGCAGAAATACTTATCTAAATTAAATGCAGAGCTGCTAATGAAACAATAATATTTACTACACACTTCACTAACTCCCCATAGTTAAATGTAATTGAGTTATGTTCCAGTTTTAACCGGAGGCATCCTGGGAAGAATGATGTCACAGAGCACTCCCAGAGGCCCTGGAATTCTCTCTGGCAATCCGTAATTAAACAAATGTTTAGGATCTTTCTTTTCAAAATGAGCAGATAACAATAACCCCTGCCCTTAATAAAGTAAACAAAGAGCTAAAGTACAATTTGTTGCAATCCTAGAATTACTTGCACTGAGAGGCTGGTCTTATTACCCCAGGAGGAATGAAGAAGAAAAATTCCAGTCTTTCTCCCGGTCATGTCTAGCTCTGCCAAGAAGTTTTGACGCATATAATCAATACACTGAATTGAATCAGCTGAGAATGAGCAGCTCCTACATCATATGCAAGAGAGGCAGTAAGAATGGTATGGGTGGGAAGAAAGAGGAGCAGGACTGTTTTTTTCAGCAATTACTTGCAATTAGATCTGATTATGCTTAACAGTGACCAAGTTGCCACTGATCTAAAATCAGGATGCCCCAATTGCACCCTCTGCCTGCCTCCAGCTGCGCAACTGCGCTCTGTCCCTTGTATCACCAATTAATTCTTAGCCTAAGCAGTTCCCTGAACCAAGATAATAGCCCAAGAATCAACTGCTGTTTAATTACAAGGTCACCAAACCAGTATTTTAGTTTCCTCATCAGTCCTTAGGCTCTCCTAAAGGTAGTTTGTTCGCTGTGAGATACCCCCAGGGAAAAAGGCTTCCCTGTCCAAGTACCCCGGCAGCAGTGTAAGGTCTGTCTCCTGACCAGACAACCCAATAACACTCCTGTCTCTGCTGTCTGTTTAGTGGCTAAGTTAGGAAATTGGAGTGTTCTTATTTACAAGTCCTGTAAGAGAAGGAGAGGGACTTAATTTAAAGACATCCTGTTCAGTCAGAAGCATCTAAATGGTCATTGATTGTTGTTCCTTGGTAGGATATGTGAGTCTCTTTAAAAGTAGAAACTGTTTGTTATTCGTGCTCTGTCCCTGTTGTCAGACAGGCTACAGGGCTTGTGTCAACATTACTGGAATAGAAAAATATGAGTTTGAACAAGTCGAGCTTGAAGTCTCACATTCCTGAGAACCAGGAGGATTGCCACCGAATCCAGATATGGAAACAGGAGGAAGCACAGGCCCAGTCCTGTTAGAAGCATCTTTGCAAGGACCCTGGGGAATAATCATCCCAGAAAACACCCCCTCATGTGTGCATGTCTCCCAATAGCTGCACAGAGCAACTGCAGAAACCTGTTAAAGCCCCTTCCATTTTTATGGGCAGAAAAAGATAATCATGCCCACATCTTGGGGAGGTTGAGACCTAAGTCTCTTTGGCAGTTACCTTCAGAACGTTGCTCCCATCTAAAAGGCACATTAAATCCTCAAATGAATTTGTTATACAAAAGTAATTAGCTCTTCAAATGAGAGAACACTGAAATAGTCTTGCTGTATTATCCATTAGAACAGGACAGGAAGTGTTAGAGTTGGTGTTTTCCATTCCTAATAAAATGCACTTCCTACCGCTGAGCTGCTAGCGTTCCCTCTTCTCTGTGAGCAAGGTGAATGCTGTCATGCAACTATGCTGCATTCGCCTGCCTGAGAGTTGGTATACAGCGCACAGACAAGGTGTCCCAGCAGACTCCTGCTCCAGGTTGTTTTTCTAAACACCACTTAGCCCTGGAAAGAGACTCTATGAGACAGAATATTTTTAACCTAGCAGCCCCAAACTCCCAGAAATGCAGATCAGAACCTGTGAGCCTGATTTACAGTAACACTGGTCATGGAGGCATTCACCCTTCAGTCACAGGCATCAACTGGCAACTGACACCAGAGGCTCTCCCCGGCCCCTCAGCCCCAAACACCTCTCAGAAAACAGATGATTCCAACATCACCTACCCACGTCAGCATTACTTCGAGGCTTTCTCGCTCCCTAAGTGAGGCTTCTTCAGTCCATGATTCCCTTGTTTTTTCCCCAAGCTAAAGCTTTCACAAGCACATGTCAAGCTGTCTGTACCTAACTGTAATATTACTTGTAACTCACAGCCATCCATAACTGAAGCAACCTCCTGACCATGTACATCTCCTGAGCACGCCCAGATGATGCCCATCACTCCTCCGTTCAACCATACCATCCTCCTAAAGATACAAAACCAACTTGAGCCCCAAAGCAGCAGAGGCCAGAGGCAGAAACTTATTGTCTTGTAGTGAAATATTGTCTTGTGCAACCTTTGCTGGGAAGACTGTTACACACTTCACAACTTGGAAGTCAGTAAGTTACAGATTACCCTTTCCTAACCCATTCCCTGAGCAATTCTGGTTTCAGCAGTGACCCACCACATGATACTAAACAGTGCCAGCAGCTCACAGCTAACACAGCATGAGATGCCAACATAGGTTTAACTTTCTTACCAAATGTTCTCAGGTTCTTGCAGTACAAAGCGCTTACCTTCGCTACAAATGCCAACGCAGTTCTAGAGGAAACCGTGACACCTTTGAGAGCGCTCAGCTGTCGGATAATTTGTTTTTTAGAATCTAAAGTAATGAGAAGGAGGCAGGCAATAAGGAAACCTTTTCTGCTGTGTCCTGATGCTTTTGTCTCGTCTCTTGTCATCATTACCTAATTTTCTCTTCCTCCACCTTGAAAGCATGTATGCTGTATTAAGAAGACACATCCTACTTCACTGCAAAAAGTCACATACGTGAGTGCCTCCATCAGCCGCGTGGCCTGTGTCTGTCAGAACTTTCCTGTCACCCTCACAACCACAGCGCTGGATTGTATAGATCAGACTGGCATCCTATCAGTTCTTTTTGGCATATTAGAAATATTCTGCTGATTTGCAACTGACTGCATGGCCCAGGAGTGAGACAGTAGTCTACACAGTTCATATCCATTAATCCATGAAGTATATTAGCGGCTCCAGGGGATAAATACTCACTTCCAGTTACATCAGTTCAGTCAGTTCTTGCTTTCTAGCCATCTCAAAAGTGATATACTTATGATTAAAAACTCTGGAATATGTTTAATCATAGTAAACAGCTAAGGAACATGTTTATTCATTTGGAAAGGGCTTTGTTTCATAAGGGATTCTAGTTCCTTCACTGGTCCGACCTGCAGGATGAAGTACGGACCTGTGGATCAAATCTGCCCTACATGCCATTCTACATTCACGTGGCCCTTCCGAATACAGATACTCTCTGTTCTTTGTGAAGTCAACAAGCATTTCCTGCATTTGAGCACAGGAAGGGAAATCTAC